GGGAGGATGAGCCGGTCCAAGGGCAGCGTGGGCAGCGGCGTGGGAGGCGACGGGTGGCTCGTGTGGGTGATGGACTCTGGAAGGAGCAGCAAACAGGGCGGGTAAGGAGGGGGGCACCTTCCGGGAAAGGCTGGCAGCGGCACTGGGAAGCAGGTTGCAAACCCGTGACACTGGTTGGGAACCCTCAGGGCACCTGCCCTGGGCAGGAAATGTCAGGAAATGCCCTGGCACTGCACAGGAAAGCAGCCAGACCTCAGGTCACGGGGCTGGCACTGCCCCAGCCCCCCAGAGCAGGGGGCACTCACCGTGGCACTGCCCCACGTGCTTCACCGTGATGACCTGGCCCTGCCTGCAGGCGATGGTCCTCAGCTGGCACTGGTCCCCGTAGGTGACACCGTCAGAGCCACACACCTGGGGGGCAGAGAGGACACGTCAGCTGTGCCTCTGTCCTCCTCCGAGCAAAAGAAACTCGACTCTAAATGCTGGGAGAATTCTGAGGCAGAGGGGACACGTGAGCTGCACCCCCTGCCCTTCTCCAGGCAAAATAAACCGGGCTCTAAAGGCTAGAAGGATTTGGAAGGAGTCCCTCCGAGGCACAGAGGGGATGGTCTGCAGAGAGGGACCTGAGGTGGGCTGTGGGAGGCCAGAAGCAGAGCAAACTCAGAGTTCTCAGGTGGGGGACAGAGCATCCAGCTCTGCTGGGAGACATCTACCCTTGCACATCCCCCTTCCCCACGCACCAAGGCAGGGACCAAACCCGCCCTCCTGCTTCTTGTGGGGGGAAGAGACACGAGACCCCCGCGCTGCCTGACACAGATGAACCCCCACAGGTCCCTGCTCGCCCCCCCTGAGCCACCCAGGGCTGCCTGTCCCCCAAACCTTGGTCATGTTGGCCTCTGAGCACAGCGGGGACGGGCACTCGCAGTGGGCAAAGCCATTGACCTCCACGCACGAGGCCCCAAACTCGCAGCTCATCTCCTCGCAGGATTTGGGGGCTGAGGGGTCTGGTGGGGCAGGAAGAAGAGGTGATCAGAGCACACAGAAAGCAAAATCCCTCCCCCTCCTGGTGCATCTTAGCTCTCCCAAGGACCCGTTTCTTGGTGCCCCTCACCTTTCTCGCAGCCAGTCATGCCCAGTTTGCTGCCGTTGGGGCACTGGTTGCACTTCATGCCAGTGATGCCAGTCTTGCAGGAGCACAGCCCCGTCATCTGCTCGCAGTCATCTCGCACTGACCCCACGGGGTCGCAGTTACAGGCTGGAAGAGAAGGGCAAAACCACACTGTTGTGCTGGGGGGTTCATGGAGCCGACTGCAGCATCACCCAGGTCCCTCTGGCACGGGGCACGGCACCCAGCTCTGCAGGACAGCTGCTGGAGGTGACTTACAACGGGACAAACAGTCACTGCATGGCTCCTGATAGGACAAACAGCTGCTGGAGGACTTACAGTGGGACAAACAGTCACTGCATGGCTTGTGATAGGACAAACAGCTGCTGGAGGACTTACAGTGGGACAGACAGCTGCTGAAGGTGACTACAATGGGACAGTGACTGGATGATTTACAATAGGACAAACAGCTGCTGGATGACTTAGAATGGGATCAACAGTCACTGGAGGTGACTTACAACAGGACAAACAGCCACTGGAGGACTTGCAATGGGACAGTCACTGGAAATTATTTATAATGGGACAAACAGGTGCTGGAGATGACTTGCAATGGGACCAACAGCCACTGGAGGTGCCTGACAACGGGACCAACGTTGGGGCTCACAGTTTTAACATTAACACCCTGACACCCGCCCCGAGCAGGCCACGGGGCCCTGCCCGTGGGAGCAGCAGGATGAGGGGTGCTGACACCCCAGCCCTGCCCCGGGTGCTGCCCCAGCCCTGCCCCACTCACGGGTGCAGCCGCTCTTGCTGTCGGTGACGATGCCGCGGAAGTTCCAGAAGCCCGGCTCGCAGCGGTCGCACTTGAGCCCCCCCACGCCGGGCTTGCAGGAGCACTGCCCCGTGCCAGGGTCACAGGAACCCCCGTAGGAGCCGTAGGGGTTGCACTGGCACGTGCCTGTGGGCAGAGAGAGCCTCAGAGAGGGGCTGAGCCAGGGAGGAGCCCCCGAGCTCCAGCCAGGGTGGGCTTGCGCTGGGCAGGGGGAGGTTCCACCAGCTGCTCCTGCTCCGAGGGGAAACTAAACCTCCAAGGGATCAGCCTGCTGTCATCAAGGACTCCTCTCTCATTACCATCAAAGGGGAAGGAAGCTATTAGAAGTTTATTATTAATTCATTAATTAGGAACTTGATGGAGGGGAGCGATCCAAAGATAGACAGAGAGACGCTTCTCCTCACCCACAGGGAGCAGGGGAAAAGAGACACGGGGAGAAAGGGAGACCTGGGGAGCAGCCAGGAGGGTGCCATGAGCACATCCCCACACTGCCAGAGGCAGGGAAGTGGCACATCCACAGACAAACCCACCCCAGGGGCTTCAAGCTGCTGGTTAAGTGGTAATTAGCCCCTGATGAATGATTGCTGGCAGCACAGGGACACAGGTGGGACAGAAACCAGTGGGATACTGAACCCCAGTGAAGTGGGAAGCTGTGCCCATGGACTGGAGGGCAGGATTTCCACCAGAGACACATAGGATCACCACTACCAGTGTGGTGCTAAAACCAAAATGCTTGTGTCCTCTGTAGCATCACCCTGACTGTCTCCTCTGCCCAGCACCCACCTCAGCCTGCAACACCCCCCCTACTCCTGCCAGGACACCTCTGGACATTCAGTGCTGCTGCTTTTGAAATTATCCAGCACATTACACAGGACTCCCCCCTCATCAAACAGGCATTAGCCCTGCACAGGCACAGCACGAGCCGTGTCTCCATGGGGTGATGTGTTCCCTGCCAGGCAGCCACAGCCTCAGCTGTTAAAGGCTTTGCTAATGCTTTTAAAAATGTTCCTTCTGGCCCTGATAATTATTTAATAAATATTAATGAAACGCTGGGCAGCTCAGCTTCCTGCACAGTGCAGTCACCCACCAGTCACCGGTCCTGGGGTGGCCTGTGGAAGGTCCCCAGGTGAACCTCCAAGCTCTGTTCCACCTCATCCTGCAGCTCAAGCACACGTGGAATATTCCTGTCACTCAGGCTGGTGAGTCCAGCAATGGGCTGAAGGCACCAATGGCACAGTCTTGGCCCCGGGGGCACTTCTGGGGGCATCCAGACAAGTTCTGAGCTCCCATCCTGCCTTCCTGCATTTCAAAGGGATTTAGGCCTGGAGGTTGTCTCAGAGCTTTTGGAAGGACAAGAGCATCCATCACCAGTAGATCCAGAAGGGGAAGAACACGTGCTGGGAGGTTGTAGCAAGGTGGGGGGTTGTTCCTCCTCCCATGTAACAAGTGACAGGACCAGAGGAAACGGCCTCAAGTTGTGCCAGGGGAGGTTTAGATGGGATATCAGGGAAAATTTCTTCACTGAAAGGCTGGTCAGGCATTGGAAGAGGCTGACCAGGGAATCACCACCCCTGAAGGTGTTTAAAAAACACGTGGGTGTGGCACCTGGGGACAAGGGTTAGTGGTGGACCTGGCAGTGCTGGGTCAAGGGCTGGACTCCAAGGTTTTAGAAGGCTTTCCCAACACAAAATCCACTCACTTGGACATCCTGCTGCTCCCACTCCGAGCGCCAGGGTCATGTTGTCTGGGCAGCAGCCGTAGATGGTCTGGCTGCAGTGCACAACCAGGAGGGGTGGTGGGGTTGTGGCAAGGGCTGCAGAGGAAGGCAGAGGGGTACAGGTTATTTTTGGCAGGCAGGACACTGCTGGGATGCATGGCCAAGGTATGGATGGAGCAGCAGGCAGCAATTCCTGCAAAACCACCTGGAGATTCTGGGAACAGGCCACGAGGCGAGGTCCTGCCCTTAGCCAGGGAGAGCACAGGGCATGGAACAGGAAGGATGCAGCGGGATCAGCAAATGAACAGGGACACAGTGGGCACTTCCTTGCTTATCCACAGGGAAAGGGCACCAGGCTGGGCACCCCCAGAGCTTGTGCCAGCTTTGGTGGGGAGGGCTGCCATCAGGGGACTCACCACGACAGGCTCCTTGGCCAGTGACATAGAGATCCTGGCGCTTCTCACACCGTGTCTTCTTCAGCTCACACTCGTTGGCGTAGGTGACACCATCGGAGCCACACACCTGCCAGGACAGGGAGGGGCAGCCGCTCAGGGCAGCCCCTGGCACGGGAAGGAGGGTTCCCTATCCCATGGGACGCCCTCTCCTGGCCCAGGGAACCAAGGGAGGAGAAGAGGGGAGGGGAGGGAGGGTGCAGGGGGGCTCACCGGGCTGCGGGGCACGGCCAGGCAGGTGAAGTCGCACACGCAGCGATCGTCCTCGGCGTCCTCGTCCCACCAGCCCCCGAACTGCCGGCACCGGTCCTGCTCACACTCGCTGCCATCCCCGGAGCCAGAGCCCCCCGAGCCACACTCTGCAAGGGAGGACCACCCTGGGGACACAGGGCTCAGCCCCAGCACGGGGGGGAGCGGAGGGGATGGGGCCAAAGCCCTGCCCTGGCCCCAGGATGTGCCCACAGCTGCACACACCTGCCCGAATCCGAGCAGATTCAACCTCCTCGGCACAAGCAACCCCAAAATCCTGGGCCAAATATATCTGGATGCTTATGCCCAGCTGTCAGGGAAGATCCCCCTCTCTCTTGGACAAAGCAGGTTCTCCCACCACTGACTGTGCTGAGCCAACACAATAACTGCAAACCTGCTTTAGCCTGAGGCTTTCCTCCTCCGGCATCACTGCAGGAGCCAAACCAAGGCTCCTGCAGCTCCCTGCAGCTCAGCCAGCTGACAGCCACGCAGGGGAGGGAGGGCTGCCACGGGCCTTGGTGACAATTTAACTCCATGCTTTGATCCCACTCCTTTTCCTGCTCTCCCAAACGTGCTGTGCACAGGGAGATTGCTGCTGCCGATACGGAGAGCAGAGCAGAGGAAGGGATGGGGTTTGGGTTTAGAAGTTCGGTTAGGGAGATATTTTAAGTACCTAAAGCCTGTCCCCAGCCTGGCTGCCTCTCTGTAAGATGCTCAGAGCTCCAGCAGCAACAGAGATGTTGCTGATTTCAAAGGCTTCTTAAAGGGGAAGGGTAGGGGGGGAAGGGGAACCTGGCCCTTTTTATTGAGTGATCAAAGGCTGGGATTTGGCATTACACAGAGAATTATTTAAGCTCTTCTCCCAGAGGGACATCAACCTGAAATTCCCCAAGGAGGGCTGTGATCAAACACCATGTTATGTCTTCCTCTCTCCTTAAGCTCTGCCATGCACTGAAGTCCTTTCCAGCTCGACTACACGTGCAACGAGCCAGGGAATCTCAGCTCACCAGAGCGGGGAGGTTTAGGTGCCTCCCTTACATGAATTCAGCCAGCAATAACCCACAGCCTTCCCCAATCTGGGAAAACTCAGCAGGTTCTTAGCTTTTAGCCTGGCCAAGCAAGGTACAGCCAAGCCCACAACCTTCCCTGGCACTCAGGCAACAGCACCATGGAATGGGTTGGGTTGGAACGGGCCTTAAGGATCATCTTGTTCTAAGCCAGTTTGCCATGGGATGTCACCCACTGGACCAGGTCACAGGCCAGGCCCTCGAGCAGCCCCAGAACAGAGGGAAGCAAAGCAGCAGCTGCGCTCCCAGCCCCAGGAATGGCTCTGTTTGCCTGGATGAGACCCTCCAAAGCGTGACATTAAAGCAGCAATAACTCCTTGCCCATCCATCTGGGCGGCATCACCTCCACATTGCTGGGTACAGGGGAAAGGGGGGTGGCAAGCGGGGTGCTGAGTGGGCAGGAGGCACTGCTGGCACACTGTGCTGGGCATTCTGGGGGTCTCACAGGGCACTGTGCCCGAGCTCCACACAGCGGGGCTCCCGTGGCAGCGGAACCCTCTGTCCCCCCTCCCTCTCTCCCCGGTTCATGCACCCCCACACACCCTCACACCTACCATCCTCACAGGGCCCCGTCCTGGCCACCTCGATGCTCTTCTTCTGCTGGCAGGAGGCCACCTGCAGCTCGCACTGGTTGTCGTAGGTGAGCCCGTCGGTGCCGCACACCGGGGCCGGGGGCTGGCGCTCGCAGCGCGGGCACACGCACTGCCCACCCACACAGCGGCTGCCAAAGGAGCACACCGTGCTGCCACACGACTCTGGGGACACAGGGGGGAACACAGGCAGGCGTCACGGGGGCTCCAGTGGCCGGCTGAGCAGTGTCACACAGCTGGGGACCACTGATGTTATTGTTTGATTTGATCGGTGCAAAGGCTCTGCGATGGCCAGGTGCCCAACCTGAGCATTCCTGACCCCCCATCAGCACCCACAGGTGCTGTGTGCCCACCCTGAGCATTCCTGACCCCCCCATCAGCACCCACGGGCACTGTGTGCCCACCCTGAGCATTCCTGACCCCCCATCAGCACCCAGGGGTGTAGTGTGCAACAATTCTTCCTTACACCACTAAGAAATCCCATTTACTCTCGTGGTGTGTTCTGACTTGAGCCCCTGGAGCACTGAGGGTCATCTGTCACACTCAGGCATTCTCTCCCGAATTCAGGGAGGATCTCCACGCACCAGCTCAATCCCTGGAACATCAGACCCAGCTGGACAGGTTTTATGTGGCTCGAATCATTGCTTTTACCCAAACAGCTTTTGCCTTAATGAAGAACCCGGCCAGGGCTTTTAATTCATTAAGAAATTAGCACAGACATTTCCCTGGGCTGGGGAGTGGGGAGGAAACGTGGGAACAAAGAAGAATTAACCCCAGGGGATGGGGGCGGAGGGAAAGCCGTGTGTGAACAAACAGACCCTCAGTGCTTTCAGTTCTGATGGTGGCCATTAACACGTTTTTAGCCCGATTTCTTTGCTCAGCCCGGTGGACACTAATCCAATTTCTCTACCAAGTAACGTGTGGGGGGGAGGAAGACACCACCTACGATGGGGAAACAACTAAACCAGCTGGGGATAAAATTCCTCCTAAGCCACATGGGGAGACCCCGCGGGACGAGGCGAGAAGCCCAGGCGAGTGGGTGACCCGCCGAGCCCCGGGTGGGCAGGGCCGGGGCGGGGGGGCGAGCGGAGGGATGGAGGGGACCTTGGCAGACTCACTGCAGTCTCCCTGGGCGGCCACCAGGATGTTGGTCTGCTGGGTGCAGGCTCGGACGTGCAGCTCGCACTCGCTGCCGTAGGTGCGGCCGTCGGAGCCGCACACGGGCTGGGCAGAGGGCACGCACTCGGTGGGGCACACGCAGCGCCCCGTCTCCGCCTCGCAGATGGCCCCGAACTGGCACTTCCCGCAGCGCTCTGTGCGGAGCAAAGGACAAAGCCGGGAGGTTAAAGCAGCGCCGAGCACAGAGCAGAGACTGCCCGGGCTGGAAGGGACCTGAAAGCCCGTCTGGTTCCATCCCCTGACGTGGGCGGGGACACCTTCCACCGACCAGGTTGGACACTTCCAGGGATGGATCTTGGAGCACCCTGGTCTAGCGGAAGGTGTTTCCTTCCCCCATGAGATGGGCTGTAAGGTCCTGTGCAACCCAGCCTTGGACACTCCCAGGGATGGGGCAGCCACAGCTTCTCTGGGCAACCCGTGCCAGGCCCTCCCCACCCTCACAGGGATGAATTCCTTCCCCATCTCCCATCTAAACCTACTAAGGCAGATCTAAACCCACCCAATGCAGAAATGAAACCTCCCTGCTCCCACCTGGAGCCTCTGCAGACACCACAGCTCTCCTGGACCAGCAGCCCCAGGGCAGAGTGGAAGGGAGGGAGTGAGGGCAGGGATGTGGGAGGAGGGAAAGGCTGGGAGGCAGAAAGGCAATAACTACTTGTAAAAGCCATCAGGGCCAGGAGTAACGCGCTGAAATGTCACCATGGCTGTCTGCTGGCAGAGCCAGAGAGGAGGTGGGAGAGTGTGGGGCTGACAGTAATTATGGGGAGCAATAAATCAGCCCCAGCCCCGGGAGGAGCAGCGGAGCCTCCCCGGCAGCCCGGGGGGAGAGAGCCAGCAGCATTCCCACACGGCACAGCAGCAGGATGGGAAGAGGAGGTTGCCTGGGAAGAGGGATACCACAGTCCCCTCGTTTATCAGGGCACCAGCAGCGCTGGATGCAGGTGTAACATCAAATGTCACAGTGCCACCTCCCCGGAGGGACCCCCAGCCTGCTGCAGACACACAGGGCACACGAGGGCAGGCTGGGGGCAGAGAAGATGTTTATCATCCTGACAACTCCCTCTCCAAGCAGCTTTCACTCCTTGCAGGAGAGCCCAGACTCCAGCCAGCACCTCTCCTGACTCCTGGGTATTTACTAATTCACGGCTTCATTTTCTCCTTCAGACAAACACCCCTCTTTTTTCCCCTCCCTGCCGGTCATTTCAGGAGGAATTTGGCTCCAAGGTGGTTTTCCCTTCTCTTTCTTTCACACGGCAGCTGCTGCCTTGGCATGGGGGAGGGAAGATGCACCAACCCCCTGCTCGGTTCGTGCTGTTGGCCAGGAGGTTTCTATCTATGGCACAAATCCTGCAGCCACACACGGGCTCTGCAGGTCAGGGGAGAGGATGCTCAGGGCAGCCAGCTCCTGAGAGCCAGCCTGAAGGTTTGGGACAGAAAACTGCATTTTGATAAAACTATAACTAGCCCAGCTCTACCTGAACAGATTCTGTCCCAGGAGAACAGAGTCAGCACAGGCTGTGCCTGTCTGCAAACACTCTCTGACTGGCAAAGCTGGCACAGGGAGTGAGCCTGCAGATGGAAGTGCCTGGAACAGGCTCCCCAGGGCAGTGGGCACAGCCCCAAGGCTGCCAGAGCTCCAGGAGTGTTTGGACAACGCTCTCAGGGACAGAGTGGGATTGTTGGGGTGTCCTGTGCAGGTCCAGGGCGGGATTGTTGGGGTGTCCTGTGCAGGTCCAGGGCTTGGACTCTGATCCCTGTGGCTCCCTTCCCAATGGGGATATTCCATGATTCTGTGCTGTGTAAGGGTCTGAGTTGTATATACAGGGTGGGTTCTTATTAGGGAAGACGATGAACCCTCCTTACTTCATCCTGTGCCTCTGACCCAGGCACCTTCTCCCCAGGGCACCCTGGGTAAGGCCTGCTGGGTGAGGGGACAACCCACACCTGCCTCCCCCCAAGCTTTCCTTGGTGAGGAAGGCAGCATTCAGGATGGACACCGGATTCTCTCCCACCACC